CCAGAAGCTCCCTCTGGTGCTCCACTGGCAGCGCCAGGTGATCCACAGGCCTGTGGGCACCTGGCATTCCTGTTTCCTCTCTGTGAGGCCCTGCGTCTGGTGGGGATCTTAATCAGCCACGCACATGGCATCACTAACTGGCCCTTTTGCATTTCCTGTAACAGCAAACAATGCAGCTCACTGGCTTCATCCTGACAGTGAGGCACCTCCACAGGGCCACAAGAAAGTTAGGAGGGCCCAGGAGCTGCTTGAGGATAAGCATAACAACAAAAAATGTCCTGCCCCTGGACAGGATTTGCCCAAAGTCCGCACCCTGAAGCACACTGCCAGTGGCCAGCCTCTCAGTCGCTCATACTTAAAAGGGCTAGAAGGAGGGGATTAAAGACAGACGCCTGTTCTTGGTTAGTATGCAACGTGGGCAGCTGGACAGGAATGAGAATGTGCACAAACCAAAGCACCTCCCGAAACTGAGTGCGGCCACCAGGGCAGAACTAGAGCACACCCCCCTTCTCCACTCCACAAGCCCTGGGCACACTGCACAGAGGACCCTGCACTGCACACCTGAAGCTGCTCCGGCCCCCATCCCGGAAAAGAACAGCCCACTCCCTTGCCAAGAACAACAGAAGACTAGTTCAACACAATCCAAACTCATAAACCCGTAATCTGAGCAAGCCGTCACCTAGCACGGCAATGTGCTTCTGAATCAGACTCGAGCTGCTGGGGTCCGGAGCAGCCTGCCCAGGGAGAGGGGTGCCGGGGCCACAGCTCCTCCCCACCAGGGTCACGACACCACACGCGGACCCCCGCCCGCAGCAGTGAAGCAAAGCAGAGTGCAAAGGGCCACCGGGGCTCCAGCGCCGACCTCCCTGAGACCAGAACCTGGCCCACAGGCTGCCGGGTCGGCAGCTGAAATGACTGGCAAGATTGGGAACAGCAGGCAGGCGGGGGAGCTGGGCTGGTGGCACCCTCAGCCCCTGCAGCCAGCGTCCTGGGGTAAGGAGAGGACCAGCCCTGTCCAGGCCAGCACTCACCGCAAGGCAGACCCAGGGCAGGGGTCAGTCGGCTCCCACCAGGCTGCACAGCAGCTGTCTGCACTCAGAGCCTTCCCACGCCTTCCCTGCTCCTCCAGCACTCCAGCTCCTCGAGGGGGAGCAGAGCTAGTACTCCCTCCCCACTGCCTCCTGAAACCAAGGCCCAGGAGCGCAATATACAGCAGTAGCCAGCTCGACACGCTGTAATCCCCACACTCAGGAAGCTGAGGCAGGAGGACTGCCTTGGAACAACTACACAGTAAGAGCCTGTCTCAAAACAAAACAAAGCACAGGGGACCAGAAGCAGAAGCCGGGGCCGCCACAGCCGCAGGCCACACTACCTGTTCTGTAAAATAAACAGTACTTTATGTCTTGCCTTTAAATTTTCTAATCAATGTATTGCAACTCTCACCCAAACTGTCACCACACGCTCACTTGCAGCGAGCAGATGCCTGCTTACAGATGTCTTAAAGTGAACAACTTTCAACATGTCCGATAAATTAACTTCCAAAAGCATTAAAGCCAGGCATGGTGGTGCACACCTGTAATCCCAGCACTCGGGAGGACTGAGAGGTCAGAGCCCCCAAGAATACTACACAGCCAGTTCCAGGCTAGCCTGGCTACACAGCAAGACCAGTCTCCAAAAGAACAAAACATTTCACAATTAAAAATACTAATAATTAATACTGTCAACAAAACTCAAGAGTTGGTCAAAAAACAGAACAGAATGGGAATCTAAAAATAAAAGCACAGATAGCCACTGGCTCAGCTGTGGCACCGGAGTCCAGGGCACTGGAGGAAATGACTGTACCTGACCAGGGCCACAGCCTTCGGGGCAAGCACAGGAGCTCGCCAGTCCCTACACATGGCAGCCCGGGGACATGGCCTCCCTCTGGCAGCCAGCCCTGGAGTGTCAGGTGCTTTCGGTTCCCATGCAGGACAGCGGGTGGTTTACCCTAGCAACCTAGAGAACCACTGTGTGATGGGTGAGGTGTCTAAGCCACCCCGATCCCCACAGCTGGTTCCCCACTGGGTATCCAGGCCGAAAGCCAAAGCTCTGTGTTCAACAAGGGGCAACCCAGAGAGTCCTGCACGGAGGCTTGAGGAAGAAAATAAAGGGGCAGGAAGTCTGCAAATCCAGCAGAAACCCCTCCCCATCCAGTCTCCTACCCCACACAGGGTAACCACAAGCTCACATCCAGGCCACAACCCCACGACCACAGCACAAATGACAAGCTCTCCAGCTGAGCAGAGCTGAGCTGAGTCGCATCAGGCATCTGAATGGGGACTGCCCAGATTTGTGATCCAAATGAAACCGTATCTGCTCCCCTTCTGAAGCTAGCTACAGGCAGAGGCCTCACTTAGTAGAACTGAGTGAGGACTGGACTGCTAACATGGGTGTGACGAGTACTCTGCTAGAACAGCGAGGTCACCCCAAGTCCCAACCCCAGGATGGAGCCAGAAGTGGTGGTGCACACCTATAAGTCCCCTGCACAGGAGGCTGAGACAGGAGAATCACAGTGAATCTGAGGCCAGCCTGAACTACACAGTGAGACCCTGTCTCAAAAATAAATAAATGTGGGCCTGGGATGTAGCTCAGCAGCACAGTCCCTGGCTGGCAAATGTGAGGCCCTGAGTTCAATTCTCAGTACCAAATAAATAAATGATAGCCAGGCATGGTGGCACGTGCCTGTGACCCCAGCACTTGGGAGGCTGAGACAGCACAACTGCCACTGGTTCAAGACCAGCCTGAGCTATACAGTGAGTTCAAGACCAGCCCGAACTACATAGCAAGATCCTGCCTCAAAACAATAAATGAATGAAAGAAAGAAATCCCACAATGATACCTGGTCTTCAGTTCCTGCTTCAGCTTCTAGTCCTCAAATGTCCAACTCTTAACAATTCCAAAACTTCAAAGCCCACAGTAGTATCAGATTTTTGATTCCTATCTGATGAAGCAACACGTACCCCAGAGCAATCTTGACCTGCAGTAAGACTAGGCCAGTGGCAGTGAGCCTATGGCATGCATGCCACAGCGGGCTGTGTTCGTATCACTGAGATCTCCAACAGGTTCCCATCACTGGACCAGACCAACCAGACACAACACTGAGACAAACACCTCCACAGAGCCCAGATCCCAAGCTGAATGCTATGGCCAGATATAACAAAATAAATCACAGTCACCTTGCTAAAAATAATAGAAGTGCTTTTTATAAGCATTTGTAAGTAAGTATTAGAAGGCTGAAGCCATTCCCACGTGTACAAGCTTAAATATACACACACGACTGAAGCCTTGTACAAGAGCCCAGGAGCCGACCCCAAGAATGTGCCATGTTTAACAGCAAAAACAGAGAAGTCAGCACCCACGGTGGGCAGGCCCCAGTGAAATACTATGAAAGTGCGGAAAGAACAGGAAGTTAGAATGGAACTAGGAAGAGCCTCAGAACATAATGCAGCTTAGAAGAATCACTATGAAAGGTGCAAAGCCATGCAAAACCCAAACCATGCAGTTCACTAATGTAAAGATGCATGTTGAAATGTAGGGAAAATCAAAGCCTGACCCACACTGGGTATGAGCAGGGGGAGGAGTGGGCATCCTGTCTGCACAGGTGAGTGCGGAAAACTGCCAGGCACCTGGGGCCCACTCCAGGATGATTTTCTGAGGTGTTTCCCATCCATGTTTTCAACTCTACTTGGGTGCTTTTGGAGACAGGGTCTCGCTGTGTAGTTCTGTAGTTGCAGCAATCCTCCTGCCTCAGCCTCCACAGTGCTGGAATTACAGCTCCACTTTTTAAAATCAGATAAAGCAGCCGGGTGTGGTGGCACTCACCTGGAACCCCACTCCCACACTCAGGAGGCTGAGGCGGAAGTGCCATGAGATTAAGGCAGCCTGAACTACATAACTACAAAACCTTGTCTCAAAAAAACCAAGATACAAAATAAAATCAGATAGGTACACAGCAGCGGTTCTCCACCACTACCCAGAACTTGAGTGAAGTTCAACAGAACCTGTAAACAACTGTAAAGCTGAAAAGTGTAAAAGGACAATCTCCAGACTGCTGCTTACACATCACAAAAACTGGTTCGAAACAAAGCTGTGTGTTTAATCCCTGTTTGTCCTTGGCACTAACTGGAGGCCGCTGGCTGCGGCATGACGCCCGCTCAGCAAGCTTCTACACTGGCCAACTACCCCTTTCTGAAAGTATTACTCCTGCCTTGCAATCTTACTCTAGAAGCGGAGTGCTTTCACCAGAATAAAGGCAAGGTGTACTTCAAATTAAGGCAATTACACCAATACTGACCCTTAATTTTGTCTGAGAGAAAGCACCTGAAATGCCTGCAGAGCCCCGGCAGGGCCAACCCATCAGGGCACCCCTGGGTCTGCCGAGTTCCTAGGACAGAAACCAGAAACCAAAGCTCCTTAATCCACTACACACATTAGGCCGCACGAATGGGACTCCACGGCAAGGTTACCTACTTCTTCACAACCCATTAACCAAAGGAGATCACGCTGGCTCGCGCAATTCACACAACAGCAGTTTCTACCTGAGGGAGCCCACACCCCCGGCTTGGTAAGTACCGCATCAAAACAGGAATGGACGGAACCAAGGTTGTTCCCTTGGAACGCAGGCCTCCAGCGTCCCCGGCTGCTGCCTCCCTGTGCTAGAGGAGACGGCTGGGGACAGCGGCCATCGGGTGAGGGGTCCCTGCCGCGCTCAGAGCCAGGGGGCAGCGGGGTCCGGGAGGGCAGCTGAGGAGGACCTGCGCGCAGGACCTCCCCAACCGGGGCCTGGGCGCGGCCGGCCCACAAGCGCTCGTCCGGCGCGGGAGCCAGGGCGAGGAGTCGCAGCGCCGCGCTCGCAGGGGGAGGGCGCCCGGCCCGGCTGTCACCCGCCGCGTCCCTCCCTCCGCCGGCCCGGCCTGGATCCCGGCCTCCGGGCCCGATCCCGGCCCGCCGCCCCCGCCCACCTAGGCCGTAGGCCTTGGCGCAGATCCACTGCAGGTTGGCGGCGATCTTGGCCCGCGCCGCGTCGTAGCGGTCCAGCGGCACCAGGTCGGCGCCGTCCGGCGGGGCCTCCATCCTCCGCCGGCCCTCGCGGCGCCCGCCCTCTGCAGACAAAGGCCGCGGCGGCCCGGCCGCAACAAAGGCGCCGCCGCTCTCCCGCGCCGGCCCGCGGGGCGCACGGCCCTCG